TAAAGGAAGGTTGGTATTGATTTTTGCGATGATCGGTAAATGGGTTAATTTCTAGAAAAATTTTGAATTTTTTAAGAAATTACTGTGGTTGCTCTAACTTTTGCAAATTTTGAGATATCGGGCTATTTCTAATTCTATTATTCTTTCCAGTCTTTTCTACCCCTATTTCATATATAATTTATTAATATTCGGTTGATTAGTTCTTGAGTTATAGATGTTTGAAATTTCGCGGAATCCGTACATGAACACTTTTTCATTATACTGGGTGTTTCAAAAGTGATGCTACAAAATATAATGGTGAAATGTATACATTAGTATAAGCAAAAAGTCCTAATATTAATTTTTTTTAGAAATGTCTCTGGTTGATGTAACTATCGCAAATTTTCTTTAATAATGATTTCCAAAAATTTCAAATGTCTATAACTAATTAATCATATTTTAATGAATTATATATGAAATTGGGATTGAAAAACTGAAGAACAATATAATATATAATTAGAAAAAGTAAAGTAAAATAAAGTGTGCACTTTATCGGGCTCACAGAATAAGATCAGATGCAAGTTCGGCGGTTTTCTAATTCTTATACAGTGTATGTGCAGTTGTATTTTAATAGATAAAATAATATAATATGTATATAAAAATCAATGAGTAAAAGGAGCTAAGAGCCTTAACTTGTTAAGGCTCTTAGCCCCTTTTACTCATTGATTTTTATATATTGTACATGTATTATTACATTTGATATATCACAAAAAAGTATTAAATTGAAACTCACCACCACCATGTTGTGAAAATAATCATGGATATTTATTATACTTTTATATTACTTTATAGTTTACTTTATATACTTTTATAGTTCTTAAACTCGTTACATTATAAAATTAAATATAAGAATATGGAATAGCTGTACATACATACATACATTACGACTGTTCGAGTTGCGCCCTCTCTAAAAGAGCGCTGCCGCCGCGACGACCATTCGTGGCAGACGAACGAACTTTATACTGATAGAGAAGTCCAAAAATGTTCGGGAAAAAGAACAAGTTCATATAGTCAGTTTTAACCACTGTATCAGTTTTTTTGCATTAAAGAGAATTTGTTATAAAGCCTATCAGGATTGTGGATCCTTTATCCGATTTCCCGTCGATTAAGTTAATATATCGGTAGTAGCATTGTGGCGACCGTGACAGGACTATATTACTGTTGCTAACCGTTTCTCCCAAGTTAAGAGGCGACGGTGAAAGTTATTTGAAAAAAGAAGTTTATTTTGGATCGCTATGCTGCAGATAATAATACTATAAATAGATAAGTTACGATACTGTTCATTTGTAAAATTAACAAGATTCAATAAGCCTGTAAAATTATCGACATTTCCTCCAACATTGAGTGCTGCACAACAACATCTATTTCGAGTGTATTATCAAGTGCAAAAATGGCTTGGGAACGACCTCAATCCCGAAGACTGGGGATGGATGACCGTAAATGAAAGTTTGGAGCCGATTAAAACTCTTTTACCCCCTTCTCCAGACATACTATTGAACACTATTTTCTGCAATTGCTCTAAAGGCTGCGGCTTTAACTGTGGTTGCAGAAAAATTGGCTTGCGCTGTTCAGCAGTGTGTGGTAATTGTCGTGGCTGGTCTTGCTTGAATGCAACAGCAGTCACCATGGAAGAGACCTATGCTGACATCGATGAAGATCGATGAAGAACGTGATCCAACAGATATATTTCTTAGCGGAAACTGTAGAAATGGAAGAGACGGACGCAGAGGTGTCCATTACAAAGGAGGTGGCTCCAGAAATTGCAGAAGAAGCAGAAAATTAATTTCAAAGTTTGAAAAAAAAAGTGGATTAGGCCTACTGGGGACACCACATTAAAAAAAAACGCGCCTAGTTCTCTACATGAACGGTGGTGTGGAAAAGAGTACATTTTATCGATAAAGTATGAGGGTGGGACTTTGTGAACCGTTTTACTAAAAAACGGTTGGTTCTGCTAAAATAAGTAATCAGACCTTTTTTGTAGTAAATTTCATAAGCTACAAATTTTATAATAACTATGTATGCCGAAAAATCAATATTTTCAGAGATATTCGCGAGAAACTGTTTTTCACCTCCTTTCACCCTCTATACAATTTTTAGCAGGGGTGGTATCGATGGGGACTTTTGAGACATTGTTTCAAAGGACAATATCTCGCTGTATACCAAAATCCAGCCCTATGGGAATTTTTCTGAAGAAAATTTCTAATTTGACTGGGCTATTCGTGCACCTTCGATACTGTGACCCGTGTTTTCTCCGATCTGTTTACTTTGGATTGGAGGATTTACGAAATGATCGATCAGCGATGTGTTCGAACTTGTCGAAGGACTGTATAGTCAGTACAACGGCGAAAGAATGACTAGGAACCTCGTGCGAGGAACGCATACGCGTTGTTTCACACGCTCGCCTCGACAATGGGTTAAAGCAACGACGTATCACGCTAGAATTGTACTACGAAAGTTAGTTGACTTATTGTTAGACAATGCTGTAAACTTGCTTATTTTTTACCTCTCATTTATTTCTCAGACATGTTACATGACATATACGGGGCATTCTATACGAAACGTAGCACCCTAAAAATGGAAAGTTTTTCAATCGTCTATTAAGAATATTCTTAAAGTCGCCAGCAGTAATTATAAATATAATAACATCGGTGATTTCTTTGTCGACCGTGTCTGGCAATTAAAATTCTTATTGCGAAAAATATTACCCCAGCCAGGATTCGAACCTGGGACCTCCCTACAATCCGTGACGGGCGTCTTAGCCAGCTCGACCACCGGGGCTGTGATAATACTACTCGCAATAACGTGTATATAACTTTAAGATGTTGTTTACCTTTTTGCGTAGCGTAATCCATTTAGAAAGCACAATTGCTAGGCCGCCCCCTCCTTCTTCATTAAATTCTACTACTTTATACATTGTTATAGAATTTTGTCAAAATCACACCAACTCACACTATCGACGATATAAACATCGTAGAAATAGAATACCATTAAACTATAAGTTCAATGCAGAATACATAGGGCTGCCGTCCGGTTTTCCCCGGATTTGTCCTAATTTCGTTAGCATCCGGGGACGTCCGGGGGGATTTTTTAAAGTAACCCGGTTTTTAAGCGCGTAGAACTAACATTATTTAATCTGCCAAATATATCCGCATACAGGGTATTGTCAGAGCGTCCAGGGCGTCGGTCGGGATCAATGATACAATAATAATATTGTAGTAGTCATTATAGATAAGATAGATATTTTTGTAGAGAATATACTTTTGCAAAAAAGATAGAGTAACAAAATATATTCGGTGGAATTGGAGCTTATACTTGGTGCTTTTTTCACCTTTTTGTTAAAAAGGTAAGTTTTTTACGTTTATATATATTCCCAGCGACAAATGACTTGTCAATCGATATCAAATCGACATCGTATCGACGAATCATTTCTCACTGGGTTGTCAACCTTTCCATATAGCACAGAAAGATTGCAGGAAGATTGCAGAAATGTGTTACATTGCAAGATTGCAATATTGCAGCAACATTGCGCAACATTGCTGCAACGTTTCTGGAGGATTGCAGCAACGTTGAAATGTTCGCCCTCAGAAAGATTGCAGTGCAAAATTATAGCAATGTTGCAGTGCATTATTTTTGGAGTAATTTGTCGTTGTTGTACATAAGCAGAGAATTTACTAATTACATATACATCCGGGCCTTTTTCAATACATAGCAAGCTATTGCGAAGCAACCTAAGGAGATTATGTCGCTTCGCAATAGCTGGAGATTGCGAGCAACACCCACTGATCAAATACTTAATAATTCGCGCATTATTGATATTAACGAAAAGAACATTATAAAATTCTCGTAATTAGAAAAATTTTTTAAATAGAAAATATAGTATTTTTATTATTTTTGAAACATTGCTGCAATATTGCTATCGAAAGTTTGCAATTTTATATCCCTGCAATGTCTTTGCAAGATTGCACTGCAATCTGCAAGATTGCAACGTTTCTCCAATGTAACTGCAACCATCTGTGCTGTATAGGATAGTATCGATAATAAAATTAACTTTATTATTTCACTTTAATTAACTATGCACATACATGTAATTCGATAATGTTATTGGATACTTTAGTGGATACTATATTAGAATATTTTAATAATTTCACCATGACTTTTTGCCTAATTGTTTCAGTTACTGTGACATCAACTAAAGTATATGTTATTAGTTTTATATTAAATATTGGACCGTGTTCTTCATCTCGAAACGAATACATATTATGTAGTCCATATTTTTTGCATCAAAATAATTTCTTCTTATCTACGTGTTGAAATTCAATCTATAATAATAATTACATTTTAACGATTCTATTCGCTTCGATTCAATTCGACATAAAAAGAATCTTTGACTCGCGCGTCTCTAATTGGTACGAACGAATTAATTACACTGTGTGACTTATAAATACATATTACATATTATCGATATTTTATACTTAAAGTTTCATAATAAATCCTTTGCTGCCCTCATTAAGGTAACATGGCATTATCTTTATCACATGTTATTTGTCATAATATTTGTATTTCCTTTCGCGATGTTATTTGTCTGAATTCTTGTTACATAATTTATACTATTAAAGTTAGGTACGTCAGTACTGCAGTGGCGATCTGAAACACAATGGACATTATTGCTTAGTAACGATATTGAGAATAAACTCATCTTACCGGAAGGAATATCGTCATATCCAGTGGAAAGAATTCCGCGGCTGTGAAAGAATATCTCCTGTGATAAAAATATAGCAACATCTCGATTTTGTCCTGAAACCAATTGCTTGGTTAAAACAAATTATCTACACACAATCCGACTGAGAAAAATGAAGAACTTACCATGCGGCACTTTCTGTTCGAAAAGGATAAACCATATTTTATCACGCGCTCTTCAACGCGATTCGCCTGAAATTATAGTAATAATTTATTTTTATATATAATTTGTTCATCTACTTTTAAAAAGATATCGAATAGTCAAACATTTTCATTAATACAGGAAGTGCTCTCTTAGGTAAATAATGTCACAATAAAACTGTCGGTTTTACCTCATAGGTCGTAAAGTGATACATTGCAACCAAATAAATAGTTTGAAATAGCAAGTCCATTGCCGCTGCAAGATTGTCTTGTATACTGTTGCCCCCCTGCAAATCTTTTATGAACAGGTATATAATCCAAACAAGTTCTAGCAGTATTGACAGAAAGGTGAACAAAGTGCCTATCCCATATAATGCGTTTATCAGTTTGGAACTATCGAGAAGCACGCCGTGCAAATAGCGTACGTCGTAAACTGTGATCTCATCCTGCGTCCCGGTCACCGGTAACTCCGAAACGTGAGGGACTATCGTCTCGTTCAAATGACGAAAACGTTGGCGTATCAGATCGAGAAATATGCACGTTATTAAGACGCAATAGGTGCCACAGATGGTAAGAGCTGTATTTTGCACCATGGTTAGTATCCCCATCATTTCTTTCGATACATCTTTAATGTCGTAATAAAATTTCCAACCTATTGTGACGAGCGTGTATATGAAGAACACGTACGAGAATACATGTTTGTCTCTTCTTTGATGCCCCAGTGCTATCGCCTGTTCGTCATACGTCACAAGTTTGTCGGACAACTGCAACGATCACATGCAAAACACGACGTAAACAGTTTATCTCAATTTAAATTTGCGTATCGTTTATTTTATAAATCCTATGAAATACCTTAAAGAAATCTTCATTTTTATGACAGGCTTTTGTGACATGTTATAGAATTTATATGTACACGGAGGGAATTTTCTCTCAAAATTTATGAAAATCCCTGAAAATCATATAATCGTGCGACAATATGGCATCTTCAAGAACTTTATGAGAGTATTTTGATTTTAAAATTTTACTATACATTTTTCTCCCTTTCTAAAAAAAGAGATGTTACTGTCGTGAATGTCGTTAATATTTAACAGTTGAGGCTTTTGATCGCAGAAAAAAACGTGACAAAAGTTGTTTGGTTCGAAGAGGGACATATACATATATATACATACACATATGTATATACATATATATGATGTATTAATTATTAATTTTTAAAAAATTAATTTACCAAGAGAATAGAATAACTTGTTCTAAGATAAGGAGAATGCTAAATGATGCGCGAGTAATGTATTATTCTAGTACTGTAAAATGTATACCAATTGTAAGTATTATAATTTCTCTCTCTCTCTCTCTCTCTCTC